ACCCATCCTTCTACGCCCTCATCCAGGTCATTTATAAAAATGACAAACAGCAGTGGCCCCAAAACAGATCCTTGAGGTACACCACTAGTAACTGAACTCCAGGATGAACATTTCCCATCAACCACCACCCTCTGTCTTCTTACAGCCAGCCAATTTCTGATCCAAACCGCTAAATCACCCTCAATCCCATGCCTCCGTATTTTCTGCAATTGCCTACCATGGGGAACCTTATCAAATGCTTTACTGAAATCCATATACACCACATCAACTGCTTTACCCTCATCCACCTGTTTGGTCACCTTCTCAAAGAACTCAATAAGGTTTGTGAGGCACGACCTACCCTTCACAAAACCGTGTTGACTATCCCTAATCAAATTATTCCTTTCTAGATGGTTATAAATCCTATCTCTTATAATCCTTTCCAACACTTTACCCACAACCGAAGTAAGGCTCACTGGTCTATAATTACCAGGGTTGTCTCTACTCCCCTTCTTGGACAAGGGGACAACATTTGCTAGTCTCCAGTCTTCTGGCACTATTCCTGAAGACAATGACGACATAAAGATCAAAGCCAAAGGCTCTGCAATCTCCTCTCTAGGTTCCCAGAGAATCCTAGGATAAATCTCATCCAGCCCAGGGGACTTATCTATTTTCACACCTTCCAGAATTGCTAACACCTCCTCCTTATGAACCTCAATCCCGTCTAGTCTAATAGCCTGTATCTCAGTATTCTCCTCGACAACGGGCTTGGAGGGCCTGTTCCTGTGCCATACTTCTCTTCTATTCTTTTTGTTTGTTCTTTTGAAATCCCCAGGAGCTGGGAGTCAGTGAAGATTAAAAGACAGGATGATGATAAGTGGGACTTGTAGTAAATTGGGATTTGGGAAACAGACGAATGGAGAAGAGAGGGTGACAGGGCAGCCAGGAGAACACTGTCAATTCTTTAACAGCGATATGAAGGCTAAGAAGTGGGCCTCGGCAACTCAGACAAGAAATAATTAACATTTTCCTTAAACCTTTCCAAAAGGGAATAATCCAGGTAATATGGGAAATTGAAGATCCAATTGCTCTTCAAAACCACAACCACTGAGTTACAGAACCATTCATCCAGCAATTTATACATTTGCTCGAATGATAATGTTGTCACCCAATGGGATCTGAAGGATTGCATAGGTCGACAGAGGAAGTGCTTCAGAGATACCCACAAGGCCTCACTGGTGACGTTCAGCATTCCCACCAACACCTGGGAATCACTGGCCCAAGGCTATCCCAGATGGAGGAGAAACATCTGGGAAGGTGTCAAGCACCGGTGAGACTTGCTGTTTGGGAAAAGTGGAAGCCAAGCAAAAACAGCGAAAGGAGCGTGCTGCCATACCAGTGCCCCACCCACCCCTTCACATGACCACCTTCTGCCCCAAGCTTGGCAGTCTGCAGAAGATACATCAGACTATGTAGCCACCTACTGAATCACCTCAAGAGTGAAAGAGATGGGGAGTGCCCAGACCAAAAGGAGAGATGGAGATATTAAATGGTCGTAAATAAGGGTGTGCAAAGGAGAGAATGAGTCCACTCTGCTGATTGCAAAGTCAACAGTACAAGGGGTGGTGTTTGTAATTAAAGTAGAGGAGAGTGTTCACGTTCTGAAGTTATTGGATTCAGTGTTATGTCCTGAAGGCTGTAAAGTGCCTAAACAGCAAATGAGGATTGAGCTCCATTGGACCATTGCAGTCCTCATCCTCAGCTGTGAAAATGAGCACAAGGTTAACCATAGAATGAGAGGACAGATGCTGGGACATATTAGTTGAGTTAATTAAGTTTGATTTGATTGTATAAATATGAGGAGCTAGTAATCAGTAGGATACAAGTTCTATGGAGTGTGGTCAACTGAAAGCTGACTCAAAAAATGGAAATGTCTCTATTTAAACACAATTACCTTCCGAGTATCCACTGGTATATTTCTAAAAACAGAGTGTGCAGTGTATGAGTTTGCGAAGCAAATTTCTGCAAATGACAGCATGAACAAAAAAAAATTAGCCCAAAGAACCAGAGAATGCACAAGTGGAAGTCAGCCGAACCCATTCCTAGTTAACATTTTGTGGCAGTTGAGCATCTTGAAATATTTTAGTGAAAGTAAAATGCAGCAGATGCTGGAAACCTGGAAGATAGCAAAAGCAGCAAATACAGTAGACTAGACTGAAAGTATAAATAAAATTCTGCTTTGCATTGTGAGCAGCAAATATAGTTTCCTTTACTTTGGAGAAACCAAATGAAGACCAGGTGACCACTTTGTGGACCATCCCTGCTGTGTCTGTAAGAATGACCCCAACCTTCCCAGATGCTTGCCATTTCAATAAACCATTTGCTCCCCTGCTAACATTTCCAGTTTGGGCCTACTGCAATGGTCCAATGGAGCTCAATCTTCATTTGCTGTTTAAGCACTTTACAGCCTTCAGGACATAACACTGAATTGAACAACTTCAGAACTCTAATTACAAACACCACCCCATGTACTGTTGGTTTTGCAATCAGCAGAGTGGACCCATTTTCTCCTTTACACACCTCATTTACTACCATTTAATATCTCCATCTCTCCTTTACCACCCTTTACACTGACACTTAGCATGAAAAGCTAGGATAAAAGATCAGGAGGCTGCATCGTCTTAAGTATTGAAATCTGACTTATATAGCCTTTGTAAGGATAAGGTTTGACTCAAAAAATGGAAATTGATGCCTCGAAGTTGTCTTTCCACAGGTAGCTGTGAAGAATTTGAATAATCTCCTCAGGAAGTGTTTAATACCAGGAACCAAGACACTTCAGTCTTGATGTTATAAGGCTCATGCTGTGCATGTACGGATAACAATTTAAAAGATTAAAAACAAAGCAGGGTGAGTGATTTGGCTATGATGTCCCTGATCCCTTCTGCCAGCAGCGTAAAAGCCACCATTTACAGCCCCTTTTGGTTCTGAAGTTATAATCAAACTCTAAACGTGAATTCTTTCTTTCTCCACAGAAACCTCCCAGATCTGATGAGTTTCTCAAGCACTTTGTTTTTATTTTGAAATGTTGTCTTCCTCCATTGTAACAATGTTCTTATCTAAATCAATTCGCTTATCTACAGTGAGTTCAGTAACGAAAGGGATGGACCTGGACCAAGTGATGACACCTGGATAAAGCAGACAGGTGAATTCAGATCAGTAGAAGAGTATGTTTTGTCATCAGCATTAATATTACCATATCCAACTAATTTACAGAACTCACAGTAAACAATGTAATTGATTTTCCCCTAGAGGAAATTCAGAACCTGAGCATAGGAGTCACTTGGAAATGGGAACCTTTGTATATTTTCTGCTCAGTGTCTGTACACTGAGTAGTAAAAAAATACTGTCGAGTTTCCTTATTCCAATAATTCCAGATTCCCTCGCTCTGTTGTAGCCATCTTTCTGGCCCACGTCTAGACTCCAAACAACGTAACTGGTATATTCTGGAAATATTCAGATTTGCCATGTGAATTCCGCTAATGGATGGAGCCCATTGAGAGAGGTGATTAGCAACTCACAGGCATTCCCAACATGTCAACTAGATAGAATTATTTACACTTTCACCAAACGCCTTCCCTTCTCTCCCCCCGCCGCAAGAATCACCTCCCTCTCTGGGCGGGACCTCTCCCCCAAAGAACCTCTCCCTGAAGGACCCGTCGCCCTCCCCCGAGGGACACACACCCCTCTCCTCAAGGTATCTCATCTGTCCTCTCCCTCCCACAAAAGACCACCCTCGGGCTGATCAGGGACACCAAGACCAAAATCACTCACCCTGCATTGTTTTTAAATCTTTTAGAATCATTATCCGTACTTGCACAGCATGATCCCAATGACAAGACTGAAGTGTAACCACACGTGGTTCCCGGTATTAAATACTTCCCGAAATCATTCAAACTTTTCACAGCTACCTGCGGAAAGCCAACCTCGAGGCATCGATTCTCATTCGGAGTCAAACCTCTTACCCTCGCAAAGGCTATAAAAGTCAGATTTCAATACTTTATTGAATTACAGATTGCAAAGACAATGCAGCCTCCCGATTTTATTCTAGCTTCTGACAGGCAGTGTCAGAGAAAAACTGCAACAGTGTAGAATTTTATGAGTACACCGCATCAGATAATACGGCACTAAGTCATTAAATAGAGAGGGTCCAGCAATCTACTACTGTAAACTGGATTCACGTTCAAACCTTTCACCGTGAAAGGTTTATTTTATATCTGGCTGGATAAGAGATTACTCAAGGACTATCAAAACAAGGGAGTTTTTTTTTAAATCTTAAAAACCAACTGAAAGCTTTCTGTTTAAAAACGAAAGAATAAATTTTGACATAATTTACAGCCCTACATTTTATTCACGAGTCGATGTCATTAAAAATAAAAGATGGGGTTGAAGCTAATGTTATACCCACACCGGCAGGAGAGAGTAGATTTCAGAAGAAAAGTATACTTTAACTTGAAAGGAACCGGTTCCAATCAGAGACAACGGTCAAAGGGATGAATACAATATTCGTGAGAGTTGGAATAGCGTTTGTTGTCACGGTAGTTGCGTTGGTGAATTAGTGCTGTCAGCGACAGGGTGACGGGGTGGCTTTCCTTGAGAGCGGGGGAAACAGGTGGCAGACAGTGGGGAGGGAAGACAGTGAGGAGCGAGGGGGGGTGGAGAGGACGGGGGCAGACAGG